CTACAATCCCTGCCGGTACGAGACTCGAACCCACAACCTTTGGGTTACGAGTCCGACTCTCTAACCATTAGGCCACGACTTCCCCCAGTTTGTTTTCAGTACGATTTTTTGTACGATTTCTATTCATTAAAGAATGCTAGAGAAATATTGCTTAATGTTTAATAACAACTGTTTTCAACATTGATAATAATAAATGATAAATGAGCAACAAATTAGCATATTAGAATGATTTCTGAAGGAACATGTGACACTGAAAACTTGAGTAATGACTGCTGAAAATTCAGCGTTGTCATTACATTTTAAAAACATTCAAATAGTAAGCATTTCATTTAAATTGCAATAATATTTCACATTACTGTTATTACTGTAACAACATTTACTGCAATTTACAGTAAATAGTTAAAACTTTTTAAATAAAAATGTCCCCACAATTTATGGTAAACAAATAGTTCATTAGCTAATAATTAAAAGTTAATGAATAATAAAAACATTTAGAACAGTGCCACAAATCACATTAATTAGTTAACACTTATTAAAGCGTATTATTACATTATCTAAAAATGCATTTATTTATTTTTTTCTTCCTAGGTATCACTGTAAACAATATATGGGCCATTAATCATGGAAGCCAAATTTTGAAGACTTTAACACATGAGGCCTTCTATTTTACCATCTGTATTATGATGATGCTTTTAGGTAGTTACAAATGGTAAAAAAAAAAATGGTACCAAAAAATGGTACAAAAGCTGTCTGAGGGGTGGTACCCTATCAAACGTGACTAATACTTACCTTTAAAATGGATAGTTCACCCAAAAAGGAAAATTCTGTCATCATTTACTGACCCTCAAGTTGTAGTATTTCTTAGTATTTCATAGTATTTTTTCCATACTATTGAAGTCAGTGAGGACAAGCAGCTGTTTGGTTACCCACATTCTTTAAAATATCTTCTTTTATATTCCACAAAAGAAAGAAACTCATACAGGTTTGGAACAACCAAATTTCTGGGTGAACTGTCCCTTTAAGGTATTAATATGCACCCAACTGGTATAAATAAGGTACCTTTTAAAAGGGTACCACCCCAGTGGCAGCTTTTTTACCTGAGAGTGTAAGGTACAAAGCGGATTTTAGTAGTTCAGGTTAGTTTATGTATAAAATAATATCAGTTCATGATATTTTACCAGTTATTTTACTGTAATTGTAACAGAAAGGTTTATGGCTAAATCTGCAGAAATCTGCAGAAACACATTAATAAACACTACAGAGAAAGACTGGCAACTTAAGCGAGGTCCAGCATGTTTAGAAGCGTAATAATTCATGCTGTCTCCTTAGATGAGACCATCAGACTCATTAGAGCAGCTTTGGACATGGACTCAAGCATAATGAGACAATTAATATGAAGCAGAGCCAGTCGGTAAACTGAAAAATAACAGACTTTCTGATACAAATCACTTTAAAAGTAAAAGCGAAGACAAATGAAATACTCTCGCCAAAGTCACAAAACCATTTATCTGTATTCCTGTCATCTTTATAAGATCGGGCCCAAGCTATGCTGACTGGATGCTTCAGTAATCAGATTGTTTTGAGACTGATCTAAAGAGGTCACTGAACATCTATACAGCTGTCTATTACTACAGCTGGAAAAATATACTTTTGTTTGCATTAAATATTCACTCAATCACAAAAACTGGTCTGAACAGCACGCTTTACAAAACCCCAGGCATGCTGGGAAAGTGAGCTTTCGCTACAGTCATAACAAGAAAGCACCAGTTGTCAATATCCTGTGAAGTGTAAACAACACAATCACACACTAGACCAAACACCCTCAACATTTCCTCACCGTTGATCGGTAGTGGTTATCCTTCGTTTTTGAGCTCAGGGGATCCTGCTGTCACTTCCTGCGGTGGCCGCTCCTGTCTTTCGCCACATGTCTCTCCTCTGAGGGGGGCTCAAACCTGCACCACAAGGGACAGCGGGTAGCCACAGTGCAAAACACAACAGATTTCTCTGGCTAGTTAAGTCAGGGCTGCTCAGAGAGAGAGAGAGAAAGAGAGAGAGGGAGCACAATGCGTTTAGCTGGAGGGAATTAAGAGCTCTCACACAGCAGAGCGAGGGCTTAGGCAGCATTTTCAGGACAGGATAACTCTGGCTACTGAGAGGGAGGTTAAACTGAGAACATTAGCTCACGCGCTGACGCTAATACAGTCCAAGGTGTGCAAATGCTGCTAGTTTGTCATTAGAATTCAGACTGAGAATTGCAGTCAGTCTGAGTAGCTGTATGGGGTCAAAAGGACCACAAGAACTTTCCCTTGTTTTGGTGTATGTACAGTATGGGTGAACATCATGAAAAATGACTCCAGGTCACATTTCACATAAAACCATCATGATTTTTTTGCATTGTGACGATTGTTTTTAAGTAATTTTATCGATAAATTCTAAATACAAAAATTTACTTCTTTTTTTTTTCCAAAATTCCTATTATTCTCATTATTGATTTCCATTAGCCTACATGTAAAATATGTTTTACATAAATAAGTTTTTTTTTTTAAGTCAATGGAAATTACAAATGGTATAATTAATACTAGAGATTGACGTAAAAAGCAAATTGTAATTAATTTGTGCATTTACTGTTGTTTTAGTATTGTTTACATACTACTTTTTATAAATATTTTAAGTTTTCTTTTCAATCTGAGTATTGATTTAATTTTTAGTATTTTTATGTGCTTTTGTAATTTTAATAGCTTATAAATATAATCCTAAATACTTTAATTTATTCTGATTTTAGTTTTATTTCAGTTAGTAATTTTAGTAAAGCCTTCTTCAACTTGCCAAGGAAACTTGCTAATATTTAAATTTGATTTTTATTACAGTTCTATTTAAATAAAAAGAGTTTAATACATTTAATGATAATAACATTGTTTGCGTTGCAATGTTCTTTTTTGTTTTGTTTTGTCTTTTAGCTTGAAAGCACCTGGTCCCCAATCATTTTTGTTAATGTTTTTTTCATGATCTTTTTAATTGTCATGAAAATATAAAAAAAATTTTAGAGGGGTCATATGATGCGATTTCAACTTTTCCTTTCTCTTTGAAGTGTTACAAGCTCTTGGTGCATAAAGATCTGTAAAGTTGCAAAGACTAAAGTCTCAAATCCAAAGAGATATTCTTTATAAAAGTTAAGAGTCAACCACGCCTACCTAAAATGGCTCGTTCTAACATGCCCC